TTGAACCCAATCAAATATTTCTGGAGAAACCTGAATGCATGCATCCGCCCCCTTCCAACCTGACAGAGCTTGAGAGGTGAAGAGATGGCAGATAATTGCCAAATGCTGATGAGCAAAGCTTGTCGCATCAAACAAAAAAGACTTGAGGCTGTAAAGGTGCTTCAGCTAAATATTTAGTTATTAGATAATGCAATGTACTTATTTCAGTTTTTTTTATTTTTAATTCATTTACGAAGTTGTGACAATTCTGTTTTTGCTTTGTCAGTATGGTGTATGGTGTGTAGATTGATGTGGGAAAAAAGTACATTTAAGCAGGTTAACATAAGGCAGCAACATAACAAAACGTGTAAAAAATGAAGGCACTGTATATTGACTTTAAGGTTGCTGTTACAGTAAAAAGAAACAGAGAATATATCAGTGCTTCAATATTTGTTTTCTCTTAATACTGCATGTAGGACAGTCACAGAGCACCCAAGGAAAGGGTCCTGCGCAAGGTATGTTCTGCTTTGACACTGTCTGTAGTCCTCACTTCCTCTGTCAGTAACACATGCCCTAAACTCTAACCATAACATTTGTCTGAAGCATTTAGAGGCAGCTCCGTCTATGCCAATAGGTTTTCACCCCGCACAAACACAGGTAAACCCCACTCCTATTACTCTGACTCTTTGTCCTGTCTTGTGATGCTTACCTGTTGTCTTTAATTTTCTTTGTACTCTAGGAACAGGTATATTGTTTGGTATTTTGATATATTGCTGGTGATTGTTTGTGTCCTGAGCTAGATGAGTGTTGATCTCACTTGCTGTTTTCCTCCAATATTCCCAGCTATCTCTCTCTTGTATACGTTTGTCTCTTTAGTCCAAATATGTAACTGTTTCAAAATCTGTATATGTCACGCTTCCTTCTGCAAGCTGGTGGCGCTATGACTGTGAACCACAATAGCCACATTCATCCAATCTGATCTAAAACAGACACTTTGTTTCCCATTTTTGTCATTAATTTAATTCCTCACCATGGCAACACCGGTTGAGATCAAAAATCAGTTCACAATTTAACACCTTCAGTGTCTTGGCATCATGTTTACCAAGTTTGGTGAGAATCACATGAATCTTTTTTGAGTAGTATTTAAAAATTCAGCACTAATGACTGAAATTTAGAAAGTCTCTACAGAGCCTCTACTCCATGCCCTTATGTATGCCCATGTCTAACAGTGCATGCAGAAGATATGAGACTCTTCCTGCCATCAAGCTATTTCCTCACCATGATCAAACCGTTTGAAATATAAAAATCTGCTCACAATTTCATTTCTTCACACAAATGGAGGAATTTATTTGTCTAGGGTAGACAGCACAGTAGCCTACCCGGTTATTGACTCCTTACCAGAAACTCTCGATGTGAATTGTCCTGTCTTCCGTCTTTTTCTGTCTTCATGATTACCTGTTACACTGTTTCTGTATGCTGTGCCTGTGAAATAGAAAGCCTATTACCATCTGAGCTAAGTTTGATGAAATTCTCTGAACTCATTGACTTACCTGTTCACATGGCTTGTTACCTGCAAATAAACCTCTGTTGTGGAAATCAGTGTATCCTCAGTGTATTCTCCTCTGTTGGTGACAATATAATTCCTGTTTTGCACAATTAATAGTTGAAGACAAGGAGCACTTAACAGCTTTCCCCAAAGACCGAACATGCTGTTTTGCATACAGTATATGAAAGGCACAGTCCTTGGTATATCACATTGATAGATCAGCTCAGACTTTCTATTGTTAATTTAGATGTAGTGTGTTCTTTCAGTGAGGTGCAGCTTTACATGTGGCTTGTCTTGAATGTGTTTGCATTTTGACGGCAGGTGTGCACAGGCCAGAAACGGGCACCACGATCCGAAGACAGCCGCATGTTTCCTCAGCTTCAGGTTCGCATGACTCATTCATTCAATTCAGACATCACTCAGTAGCAGCTGCGATGCAGGCATGAACTCTTGCTTTCTTCTCTCTTGGATATTTGTACATCTGTTTCACATTGTTAAGCAGCTTTCAGTCGGGTGCAGCCGCAGTCTGAGAGGAACCAGCACACGGCGCAGTCTAATCCCAGTAAGTATCTGCAGATGCCGTCTATTAGCATGTGCGTGTCTTCGCATGTGTACACATCAAACAACACAACTGACAGTCCAATGCTCTTTTTGCATCCGAGGGATCAGGTAAAGCTTTGTCTGAAATTAGCACCTTTAGATATAGCAAGGCTTTAGCTAAGCAAGTAAACATGTTTAAATGATACTTGACAGTAAATAAATATTGAGGACATCTTGTACATCACTGCAGTGACATCAGGTAAGTTAAAGACTAGTAATAAATTGGATACTAAGTGTAAGGCAACTCAGATAAGTGACAACACCATGCACTTGCATACTGTCATTTGGGGTCATGAACTGAGAAATCAAAATGTCCTTGATCTTTTAATATATAAGAGGTCATTGTGCTATAAAAACTATATAAACGATAAAAACGATAAAAATGTTTCTCGTTAGTCTAAAAACAGCTTATATTGACAGCTTACAGGTCTATGCAGAAACCAAACGATAAACTTTATTTGATGAACTTTATTTTTAACGAAGTGCCAGACCACATCACTATGGTCCTTTGTTCACTTCATTGTACTGCGGATTCGTTTACAAACAAGGCACAATTCAACGCAGGATTTTCAGAAAGATTGAAAATGAAAGACGATGCTGTGCGACTATATTGGATCTGACAGTAATGTCGCAACGCACAAGTGTGAGTAACTATTGCTTTGTCTGTTATTACAGTTCGTTTGATATGTAATGAGTATTTATGCGTCCATCTGTGAAGGATGTAGGCTGTCAAACATACACAACTGTTAGCCAATCACAGCAGTGTGTGTTTACTTCCGAGTCTACAATCCTCCGCATCTATTCAAACAGAGCGTTCTGAAGAGGGAGGTCAAAGCAGGACAAAAAAATAGCCTATTGCTTCTAAGTTATTATGCTTTTTGATAAAAAAAAAATGTTAAAATCTTGATAACATTATTAGTGGAACTCGGAGAGCAGTGCAAAATAAAAAAACAGAGGCAGTTCATGACCTCTTTAAGGCGTGAACGAGGCTCATATGCTCCTCACAGATTCTTGAAACTTATCTCAGACACAAAATATACAATGCTTTTATACAACAGTTCAATAAACAGGAAATTGTTTGAATTGTTTTTAGGCACAATATCGCCACTTACTTTGTCTAATTATGCTCCACTGCCAGTTAAACCAATACTGTCAAACAAAGTCAAAGTTGAATCGACATCGTTATTTATAAAGCTGTTTGTACAATACAAATTGTGTCAAAGCAGCTTTACAGTGTTAAACAGAAAAATAGTATGTTGATAATGCAAGAGGACAATACACACAGTTATGCTGTTTATTTCTAAATAATTCCATGTTTTTGAACAAATCGTTTAAGTGAATGATTCATTGACTCACTCACCTGCAGAAAGAATCACTGTAAAATCCCCTGACAGATGCACAGAACCACAGTGAAAAGTCCCTGTGCTGCTGGACTAAATATCAGTGTGTTTGGACTGGAGTTGTTAAAGCAATCTAATTTGAGAACCTGAACTAACTGGTTGATTATCAAAGAAGAACATGAGAATGCTCTTAACACACATATACTAATTCCCAGTGTTGGGGGTAACGCATTACAAGTAACGCGAGTTACGTAATCAGATTACTTTTTTCAAGTAACTAGTAAAGTAACGCATTACTTTTTTAATTTACAAGAAAATATCTGAGTTACTTTTTCAAAAAAGTAACTCCAGTTACTTTGTTTTCCCATTTATTGACTGACAGCTCTCCTGTCCCCATGTTGGGAGAAATCGGAAGTGCAGAGGAGTTGTGTGCGCTGTGTGAACATGATGTTACTGTAGTTCTAGACTAAATGTGAATGTGCATTAATTCATCCCAATCACAAAAAACAGATTTAGTATTCATCAAAATGAATTAAAAACAAATTATGAAAACAAATAAAATGGCTAATGCCATTAATGCCTGTGTGATATGCAAAGTGATTATTTTATCAGAACTGTCTAACTGGAGTTGACATCATAGTTGGCATGACAGAACACATTGTTTTTCTTTAATTTGACAGTAAATGATCTCTAAACCTCTAAACATGATTAACAGATTAATATAAAATATTTCCTTGCTACATAAACGTCTAAAAGTCCATTTGATGTCTTGAAGTAATGTATTGTAAATAGTTTTTCAATCTCCCTATCTAGCACTTGCAAGAAGAGATTGGCCGCACCCTGCGTACGCACGACCTGATGGCTTCTCTGGCACCAGAAGACCAACAGGTATCATAATCATTATGCAGGTCTCATCATCCAGTTCAAGAACATAACCCCCCATAAGTGAGCAATAAACAAGACATAAACATAGATTAAATATCGTTTTAAATTCCAATTGAATATCCATAAACACTTCATAATTCATGCTAATCGAAATCTGACACGTCTACGGTTGTACCAGAGGAGAATATATATATATATATATAACCACATAAATCTGAATTTCTGAATTATGCCTTCATAGTATGCATAGCACGTCTGTTTTTGATATCACCATAGCATCATATCAATGTACACAGGTTCCTGCTACTCTCTGCTACTCGTTTTCACACTGCGTTTACTTGCTTCACGTGGTTTAAATAGGCCATGCCGCTAGCTTTCAAGTTTAAAAGTCCATGCCAATGTGCGACCCATATGACATCAAAAACATTCAGAGCAGCATGCATTTCTGCTGGAGCTATATGACTTTAACTTCATCAATCATGTGTAAGAATAGGTGGTAATCTACAGGTTTTTTACTCCTCTTTACAGCTTTTGATTGTTTGGCTTTTTTTCACACGGGCATTATGGGTATATTTTCCATAATGCACTATGCTGAACTAACTGTTCCTGCAAATGCTGCCTCTATTCTGCAGCTCTTGACCCAAGGCCTGATAACACAGAGTATGAGCACTGGCTGCATAACTTTGGACAGTATTGTAAGTATTCTCATTTTATTTTGGAACAATACATGTATGGCAAAAAGTCTATGCAATGAGTATATGTTATACATGTGTTATAACACATGTTCCGTATGAACATGGCTCTCTGCGAGGGTTTCCAACTGAAATAACATTGTAACCTTGCCTAAGCTGCTTCGCTGGTCTTAGCTGGTTTAAGCTGGGCTCCCAACATGGTCAAGATGGTCTGGTCTAATGGGTCTCTCTGCCTGACTTATGGTGGGAAGCTTCCATTAAGTGTGTGATGGCAGTGAGCAGTGTGTGGACCGCACACTCCATATAACTACAACGTCTGTCCCCGTGTCTGGATTCAAAAGAGACTTTGTTGGGAGCCTCAGCCATGCTGTTAATGCTGCTGACTCTGGTTTGTACCACAGGGTCAGAAATCCAGGGTCAGTTGATATTTCAGTTATCCAGCAAAAAAAATCGCCCCTGTCCCTGCCTGGTCCAAATTTCCTTTCATAAACATTTTGCTAGATAGCTTATTTAAATAAGTTAGATTATTTATGTTACATCATTGCTAATAATACATGCATTGGTATAATGCGGCATGTACCAAAAAGGGTATCTGTACTCATCTAGTAAATGCTATAATACAAATCATGCCTGGATTAATGAGAAGAAACGTATACGCATTTGCCAGTCCCCCAGCTTTACTGCATATTTATTCAAAACATCAGTCGTCATGGCTGTGAAATCGGAGTTGTGGGCACAGCTCCAGTGAGTATGTTACTGGTTGTGTAACTGTAGTGAGGAGGGGTCACCATCACTGTGAGCCACTGTGTCTTTGTGAAACTGGAGGCCTGATTCGTGTGTACATGATTTCTGTTTTCAGCTCCTGCGCCAGAAGAACACAAGCCTCCATCTGAGACCAGTCAGACCAGAGGTGTGTCAAAGGCACAAGCACGTTTGTATATTAAAGCACACAGTGCACAATATTGTTATATAGTCCTGCTTAAGAAACTATGACCGAATACAGGATTTTAAATTTATTTGATTAATTAATAAATTTTTTTAATGATTGCATGATGTATATTAATTAGTTAATTAGTCGCTTGCTGGGTCAAACCCGTTCGAGTCCGGTGAGACATCTAACTTTTTTTTTGCCACATGGGTTCATTTGAAAAATGTGCTTATATGAAAATTTTTGCAAAACTCCGAAACATACCTATACATACAATTCACTGCATTTTCCCGTTGAAATGAACACTAGTAGCAGTAAAACACCAACACTTTTCTTCTGATTCTTCTTCACCTGTGTTTGATCCAGAGATTTAGCACTCGTTCAGAAAATGTGTAATAGCGCCTCCTACCATAAAATGGTGAAAGCACAGAAAGCTGGAAAATTATTTCAATGGCTGGGAAAGAGTTAATAAAGACTTATTTTCATGTGGTTCCTTGCACAATACTGTGTCATTTGTCTGTGACCGATAAAACTGAACATGTCTTTAGTTCCACTCACTGGACATTTCACTGAACATGCCAAACGTGTAAGAAGCAGCAAAATATCATTTTGCAGAAAGTATTTTTCTAATGGGCCTGGGTTGCTTTATTACATGTTTATTACATGTTTTGCAATCAAAAGTGAAGTAACTTGATCAGCAAAATCCATTACCAGGGCATTGTAGTTCTCCCGTTTTTTTTCAATTATATAGACAAATTATTTAATTTTCAATTTGGACTTGACAATATAGCCATACATAGTTCTTTAAAGTACTATAGATAAGGTTCATGATTTAATGATGATCTAATTGGGTTACACTTTATTTTGATAGTCCACTTTAGACATTCTACTAACTATAAGTAACTTCGAAACTACATGTCAACTAATCATGGATTCACAACTACATGTCTACTAACTCTCAGATTAGACTGTTAGGTTAGGTTTAGGGTTAGTCAAATAAGTTGACATATACTTGCGAATATTCTTATAGTCAGTATGTTGTGGGCCTATCAAAATAAAGTGTTAGAAGATATTAAGCAGAGAGTCTACTAATACTCTAATGACTGCTAGTTGACATGTAGTTACAAAGTTACTTACTGTTAGTAGGATGTCTAAAGTGGACTATCAAAATAAAGTGTTACCTGTAATTGTAACATCCTCTCATCTTCCAGGTTTCAACGCACGAGGACACGACTCAACAGCCAGAGTTCCTGAACCCATGTCTCAAGGAGATCCAAGTACCATTCCTTCATGCTCCTTCAAAACTGTCACTGATTGTGAGACTATTATTCACTTCCTTTCATGGCTCTCATCTTATTCTCATCTTGTCTTTGTAGACTGTAAAGTTGATATTGCATTCCTCATGGATGGCAGCTGGAGCATTGGGAAACGCCGTTTTAAGATTCAGAAAGACTTCCTTGTGGAGGTTTCTCAGGTCATTAATGTGGGTGTAGCTGGAGCCATGATGGGCATCATTCAATACGGGTAATAATGTGTCCCTGTCCCAGAAAACACTCAAATACTTGAAGTATTGATAAGAATAAGTGAGGGACTATCATATAAAACAATGTAATTAGTATTGGTAGATATTCATAAGTAAAATTTGGTTTTAGCATACATAAATGTTCACTCACTTGGATACTGAAACATACAGTATCAATATACTGACAGTGTCTAAAATGATGTATGCATAAATGTGTATGAATCCTTCGAAGATTGTACACTATTGAATTTAAGGAACTTACAGCATGGTTTAATTAATGTATAATATATTATTCAGTAAACTCAATGATCAATAGGGGCACATTTGTACATCTCTAAGATCAGTGCTGCAGTTACATTGATAATGTGCATTTTAGTGTGTACCCAACAAACCAAAACATACATATACACAGGTAGATCATGCTGATATTACGTATCAACATTTAATTTCTGATCCAGGGATGATCCAGTCACAGAATTCAGTCTAAAACAGTTCTCCAGCTCCAAGGATCTGAAGCCAGCCATCAGCAAAATAGTCCAGAAGGGCGGTCTGTCCAATGTAGGTGAGTGAATAACCCTGAACTGTACCCTGAAGCCCAAAAAGCAGAAGTCATCACATGGTTTCACTGAATTTCACCCTGTTTGCACATCTCCGTTTCAAATAAGATCTAAATCTGAGCTGGGAACTGTGGCTAAATTACAGAGCTGGTGCCACTCTGTGGTGTTTTTGTGTAAGCTGACCAAATGCCTGAGGTTTATCCAACCTAGAGATTAGTTTTTCACATTGGTTGTATGGTTTGTGTTATAGATAGTGTTTCACTTTAATATAACAGTGGAATCCTGTAAAAAAAAAAGCAGCTGCCCACTCTAGCAGAGCTATAAAGTTAAAGATAGCCCGAGGACACAACATTATCTGCTTTGATGAATCTGGTTGGATGTTGTTTAATCAGGACCATAGTCCTTCATCTTCTGTATATGATTTACGCAAACCTGCGTAACGACTCTGAAATCCCTGAGGGCTGCAGTGACCCCAAAAACTATCTGGGCACTAAAGTCATGCGCAATATATGAATTTTAGATAGCAAAATTTCAAAGCAAGTGTCATGTATTGTAGAGAAAGATGATACACCTTTCTACACATTTCAATGCTTAAACTGAAATGTTAAAACAATAGATCTAGGGCTAAAAATATAGACATTCGGTTGTGGTAAATGTAACAAGCTTGGAGACCTAGGGGAGAACTGACTTTCATGCATCCACAAAAAATCATTAAAACACTGGCTGATTAAAATACATTAAGCATAAATGATAGTGAAAAGTGAAATTAGTAAAGAGAAACTCTCTACATGACTTTTTATAACACTAGGCATCATACATTTGCTGGTTTTATAAATGGCTAGAGAGGAAAGAACTGAAAATCACACTAAGCAGTCTTTATCTATCATATACTATGTAATTTTACCTGAAATCAGTCAACTTCGACTGACCAAAATCTGCAGACTGGCTCCAAATCTCAGCACTGACTCGTCCAGACTGCAAAATGGGGCAGAAATCTGGGCAAAAGTCATGCAGAGTTGAGCAAACTCAGAATGTTTTAGTTTAGCTTTTAGGTGTGCCTTACATTCCCCAGTACTTTTTTTAGGTCCATTTAATGTAGCATTTGTATAAGTATGACAATTTGAGCAATCAATTACAAGTGGTGGAAACAAAGATAAAGAGATGTTTTGCCAGTTTTATTAACTGCTGCATTGATAGTTTTCAGCAGTAGCGTGCTGCACTCTTGCCTTTTCCTGAAGTCCTGGAAGCATTTAAGGAAAGCATTTCAGGGCAGAGACTTGACCCGAAACAGTGCTGCAATTGAAACACAGTAGAGAGTGTTCATAGGGAGGAAGGTGGATGGAACTGTAGCTGTTTTGTACTGATTCTGACTCTGTGGCCCTTTAAGGAAAGGCCCTCTCCTACATCAACAAGCATTTCTTCAGTGATGCTAATGGGAACAGAGGTGGGGCGCCCAATGTGGCTGTGGTTCTGGTGGACGGCTGGCCCACTGACAAAGTGGAGGAGGCCTCACGTCTGGCCAGAGAGTCAGGCATCAACATCTTCTTTGTCACCATCGAGGGCCCAGATGAGAATGAAAAACAGAACGTGGTGGAGACCAACTTTGTTGACAAGGTATTAATTGAGTAAAGTGAGGTGTACAATTTGACACGTACTAGAATGTCATGGCAAACGAACGCAATTGAGGGAATCAGAGAGAACTTTATTTCTTGTTTTGGTCTGTAGGCTGTGTGCAGAAGCAATGGCTACTTCTCGCTCCCTATCATGAGCTGGTTCGCTTTGCGCAAAGCCGTACAGCCTCTGGTGAAGAGCGTGTGCGACACAGACCGCCTGGTGTGCAGTAAGACCTGCCTTAATGCCAACGACATTGCCTTCGTCATCGACGGCTCCAGCAGCGTGGGAACCGGAAACTGCCGCACCGTGCTCCAGTTCGTCGCAAACGTGACGCAGGAATTTGAGATCTCAGACACGGATACGCGTGTAGGAATTGTACAGTACACGTACGAACAGAGGCTTGAGTTCGCTTTCGGACAACACAACAACAAAGCTGATCTGCTGAATGCTATCAAGCGTATAAACTACTGGAGCGGAGGCACCAGCACGGGAGCCGCCATCACATTTGCTGCAGATCAACTGTTCAGCAAATCCAAACCCAACAAGCGCAAGATCATGATTGTCATCACGGACGGACGCTCCTACGATGACGTGCGGGCCCCGGCGCTGGCGGTTCATCGTAAAGGTGAGTGCGGTGGAACGCAGTAGGTCCCTGGGCCAGCACCCGTGGTTGTTTCTGGAACAGTCAGTCAGTACGTTTACATGGACAACAATATTCCAATTTTAACACGATTAAGACAATACTCTGATAAAGAATCTACCATGTAAACAGAGATTTTTTTCTATAATTAGATTACTGATGTCCATGTAAACGTAGTCAGTGACTGCTTTATAGGAATGTTGTTCCAGGATCAGCCAGAGATGTACAGTAGATCCAGAAACATGGGTAAATCACATTAAACAGCAGTCAGGGCCGTAGCTAGAAATTCGGGGCCCTACTTAAAGGTGCCATAGAATGTAAAACTGTATTTACCTTGGCATAGTTGAGTTGTTAAAAAAAGAAGAACTACAGAGCTAATCTTATGTCGATAATGATTACAAAACAAACCTTAACTACGCGGGAAGCATGCTATTTCCGCGCCGTATAAGTTAGTTTTAGTTTCATATTCGCCAGACACTCGCTTTCCCTTGCCACTGTTCTATAAAGTCGACAGTCTTACAAAGATATCAGCACGATTACTTTTAATAATATGCAACCACTTTATTTTGACATAAAAAATTATTAAAAACCGCCTACGTGTGTTGTAGCTGAAGATTCAAACAGGAAAAGTCTTTGACGCGACATCAAAGCGAATGATGCCTAAGGGACCGTCTGACAATTCCACTGACTGGGTTAAAACGTCCAAAGTGTTTTAATTAAAATTACATTTAACATTTAAAATAACACATTGTGAAACTGTAGAGCATGTATTACTTACAGTGATTTACTACAGGTGAAATTTTGCCAATACCTCTCTTCATATATGTACAGTACACAAGTACGTTCATAAACAAGTTACTGTAAGTCCCTAAAAGTTTTTTTTTTTTTTCATGTTTCAAAGGCTGTACTACCTTGCTAGATAGAAGACTGGCTTACTACAGGTGAGATTCTGCCAATATCTCCTATACTGTATGTACAGTACACAAATATTTAATGAAAAATTACAGTAATTTACCAATAGGGTTTTTTCATGTTCCAAAGGTTATAGTATGTGACTGACTTACTACAGGTGAGATTTTGCCAGTACCTCTCCTTTATATATGTACAGTACACAATTATTTTCATAAAAGTTACTGTAAGTCCCCAAAAGATATTGGCAAAATATTCAGTCAGTTTGCTCACTATTTACTATAGCCTTGTAAACATTAATTTGAACAAATTATTGTGAGGTAAATTTGCAGACGGTCCTTAAAGCAGCTCAACAACAAGCAGTGGACCAGCACTTGGTGAACATCCGATGACACTGCAGCCAGTTAGTATAATGGGACAAGCGCAGTAAAAACGCGTTGTTCAGGGGCTAGGGACTGCTGAAACCCAAGTAGAAATCTGTTAAAGGTGCCATAGAATGGAAAACTGTATTTACCTTGGCCTAGTTGAATAATAACAGTTCTGTACATGGAAATGACATACCGTGAGCCTCAAACACCATTGTTTCCTCCTTCTTATGTAAATCTTGTGCATGCAAAAGACCACTAAAAAAACAGGCGAATCAGAACATAACACCGACTGTGACGTTACAGTCGGGATCACTAATAGTTACGCCCCCAACATTTGCATATACCCGCCCATGTTCTATGCCAGCCGCACCTGCACAGCCGAATCTGCAGGTATTGTGAAGAAACAAGCGAGGATAATATCGAAAATGGCAGATCATGGAAATAAATGTTGGCAATATATAAATATAATAACGCG